TTGCTTTCCTATGTAGGCCCATAATGTGGTTGTTTTTGTCTGTCTTGTTAAGTGCTGTTGCGTTGATTCTCAAGGCGACCCTGTATAGGATTTCCAAGGAGCAACTGATGAATTTGAACTGGTGACCTTACGATTAGCAGTCCAGTGCTTATCCTACAGCACCACACCAGGACTCCCTTTTTTTGTCTACCTAGAAAGTCCTTAGCTGTGCTCATGAGGAACCTGTACTTAGAACAAGAGACAGTCTTTTGAACAGGACAAGGGGATACTGCATGGTTTTAAATCACGAAAGGTGTGCATCAAGATTGTATCCTTTTACCACACTTGATGAGCAAATAATCCCAGAAACTATTATGTGAAGAGCACAGCATCAGGATTGGAGGAAGACTCATTAACAACCTGTGATATGCAAATGATACAATCTTGGTTCCTGAAAGCAAAGAGGGCTTGAAGTACTTACAGAGGAAAACCAAAGACTGCAGCCTTCAGCTCAATAACAACAGCCAAAAATCCTCACAACTTGACTAAGAAGCAACTTTGTGATGAATGAAAAGAAGATTGAAATTGTTAAGGACTTCATTTTACTGGGGGATCCAACATCAGCACCCATGGAAACAACAGTCAGGAAATCAAGACTTCTTTAAAGCTCTCAAATGCAGAGATGTCACTTTGAGGACTAAGGTGCACCTGACCCAAGTCATGGTATTTTCAGTCATCTCATATGCAGGCAAAAGCTGGACGGAGAACAAGTAAGACCAGAGGAGAAGTGATGGGTTTGGTGAAGAATATCGGACACATATGGACTGGCAGAAAAACCGTGCTGGGTGGAGTGGTGTTTGTGGTATGAACTGGGTGGAGAAGTGGAGTCCTCAGCCTGGGGTTAGGAAAGGTTGTGGTTGTAATGCATTGGGGTGGGGCGGACCTTCCTGGATTCCTAAGCTCCTGATGTAGGTGAATGTGTCTTGGCATCTGCTTCCGTGTGGAGAGTAAAGACCAGTGCTTCCCATTGTGCCCCCCACCTCACCCCAGAGGGATGGGGGGCCAGAATTCAGCATACTTGGAGACATTTTTTGCTTGTCATGACTAGATATGGAGAGGTTGCTACTGGCTACTGGGAAGTGAAGATCAGGGATGCTGCTAAACAGTGTGTAGAGCAGGCCCCCACTCTGCCACAACAAAGACTGACCCAACCTCAAATGCAGATAATCTTGAGGTTCAAGAACCTGGTAAAGAGGATCGCCGGCTGAGAGCTGCATTTCTGGGGCCCGTGAAGAGCACTTTAGAGACCATGAGGGAAAGTATGTGTGGCCCAGATGGGCTCTTCATGTGTAGACAGTTGGGATAGGTGTGTGGTTTAATGACTCAGTACCCCCCTTCCCCCAGGTCTGCAGGGGGCTGGTGAGCCCATCAGTGACCTCCTACTTCAGTTACCTGGAAGGGATGGGGGGCGAGTAAGGTTTGAGAGGCTTAGACAGCGAAACACATACATACCCAAAGGCAAGAACGCCTTCACTTCCAGCCTACCTGAAGGACCCATGTTGTTAAGTGCCCATCCTGTCAGTTCTGACTGATAGTGACACTGTATAGGGTTTCCAAGGAGCAGCTGATGTGTTTGAACCTCCACCTGTGGTTTGCTGTCCAGTGCTGATCCTATAGCAACAAATAACAATTAACTGGAGATGATGGGTTTGGCTGGGAAGATTCATCAAAGGGTTTCCTTGACTTGTAGCCTCTCCCAGGGCTGTTTTAAAATGACTTGCAAAGTGTGACCTTTTCTCTAGTAGCGTAGTGGTTACGAATCGGACTGCGAACAGCAAGCGCAGCAATTCCAAACTACCAGCTGTTCCACCGGAGAAAGATGAGGCTTTCTGCTCCCGTAAAGATTTACAGCCTCGGAAACCCTGTACAGGGTCGCTATGCGTCGGAACTGACTTCACAGCACAGAACCACCATATTTAGCAACACATACCTGCCCTGCCCCTTCTGAAAGCCTGACCTGACACACTAAGAAATGACGAGGACACAGTTGGTCCCCGGCCAACCCAGTCACAGTGGAACCTGTGGGAGCCGGTATGTGCAGGACTGCCATGTGTGTCCAGGTCTGACCAGCTGCAGTGGTCACGTTCTTGTCCCTCTATTAATGAAAATACATGTTTTCCTTCTGGCGTTTGCAGATTTTACTGTATTTGTGTATTCCTTATCTGCCAGGTTCCGGCTTTCATAAGTTTCATTGCATAATAATTTATCTGAGTGCCTCGAAGCCAAGGGCCTTTGTTGCTGAATCTTAGATGAGGGCACAGGTTTGGAAGCCTTACCTCATTGCCAAGGTTATACCCTGGTAGATGCACCAGTGGGGTCAAACCCCAAGGCTGTGCTTCTGTGGAGCTCTTGACCACTGTGTGTGTGTGTGTGTGTGTGATTCTGGTTAGATGTGTCTGGGTGCAGGATCATGGAGCAGACACCAGCCAGCTGTAAGACTTGACCGAATGGTGCCTGGCTTGTGTCACTGAGAACAAATACAGTCGCTTACTCACAGTGGGGCGTGGGTACAGGCTTGCCTCTGGGTGGAGGGTTGGTTAATACTGGCTGGCTTCAGGGCAGTCAGAGATGGCAGGTCTGGAAGCTGCTGCTCAGAAGTGGACAGTCACTCTAATTCCCGCCCCCACCTCCTCAGTTCCCTGACATCGTGGAGTTCAGCGAGGCCATGGCTAACGCCGGGAAGACTGTAATTGTGGCCGCCCTGGATGGAACTTTCCAGAGGAAGGTAAGGCCTCTCAACTAGCGACTGGGATGGAGGAAGGAGACCCCCGGGGTAGAGCTCAAAGAGGCAGCTTCAGGTGCGGTTCCTCGGGTGGCCACAGCTAGGCGCTGCGGAGCGCAGCCCAGTTTACTCAGACTTGGCTTTAGCAGCACCAGGGCTGAAAGCAGCCATCCCAGCTCCGGGTCTGCCCCAGAGACCCTCTGACTTGGCAAAGGGGCAGCTGGGGCAATGAGGGGGAAAGCAAGGTCCAGGCAGACGTCCCCGTGAGTCGAGGCACCTGGCCAGATGGGCGTCCTCACTTGCTGCCCTTCCGCGTACCCGCAGGCCTTCGGAAGTATCTTGAACCTGGTGCCCCTGGCAGAGAGCGTGGTGAAGCTGACGGCCGTGTGCATGGAATGCTTCCGCGAGGCCGCCTACACCAAAAGGCTGGGCTCTGAGAAGGAGGTACTATTCCCTCGGCTTTCTCCTGTGCGGGGGAGGGGGCTGGAGGGCTCTGTCCACACCTGCCCGTCTCTCCCTCTGGTCAGGTGGAGGTGATAGGTGGAGCAGACAAGTACCACTCAGTGTGTCGTCTCTGCTACTTTAAGAAGACCTCAGGCCAGCAAGGGCTGGACAACAAGGAGAACTGCCCAGTGCTGGGGAAGGCAGGGGAGACGCCCATTGCGGGAGTCCGGAAGCTCTTTGCCCCCCAGCAGGTCCTGCAGTCCAGCCCCGCCCACTGAGGGGGGGTGGGAGGAGTCCCTCCCAGTCCCGCCTGCCCGCTCCCTCTCACTGCTGCTCCCTAGCGTGTGCCTGCCCCTACACATGCATGAGGCTTCTAATGAGGAAGTCCTGGGGCCCATAACTGGGCTCGCCTTTGGAACTTTCTACACTAAGAAGTACCCTCTGGGTGCTTCATGCCACAGTCTTCGTGCACCATGTGGCCACTACCCTTCAGAGTTCCTCTCAGTCACTGGACCTGGCCACCAGCCTTGGGGCTCCGCGTCCTTTGTGGTGGGGGCCGAGCCACATGCTTACTCTTGCGACATTCGGGCCTCTTCCCTTTGTGACGTTTGCTGTTGAGTGTCTCTTCTAGACTGAAATTCGAGCCTCTGATAACTCCAGATCTTTGGGTCCACACAAGGCCCCACAAGCTCCTACAGTGGGCTGCTTTCTCTGGAATCACATGGGGCTCCTGGCTTTTACAGGGGTGTGGGGCTGGTGCAGGGATCACAAGTCTTTGTTACTAATATTAAAATTAAAGTTCAGCATTCCATGTAAGCACATTTCTCTGTAACCACCCAATACCAAGAGGGCCGCAGGGGTTCCCAGGTTGAGCTACAGATAACCCCACCATGATCTGGGTAGTGAGGGAGACTTCTCTTTCCTGGCCCTTTTGACATGACCAATAACTGAGAATCGGGCCCTGTAAGAGGATCAGCCTTGGATTTGGGGACAAAATGGGTCCATGGCAGTGCTTGGGGCCTGGGGTGGAAAGATGAGACCTGCTTTGGGTGCTGGGGCTGTGAGGTCAGGTGGTGTTTGTGAAATAGACACTTGTCAGTTCCGGAGCCAAGTGGACAAGGCTCAGCTGTGTATGGGGGTGGGGTAATGGCAGGGCCTCAGGCTTGGTAGGGTTAGTGCTCCCCAGTCCCAGGCCCATCGACCATGTCCCTCCATACTTGGCCATAACCCAGGGTTAGTCCTAGGTGTTGGGTTTGACCCAAGCCGTGGTGCTTTCAGTAGCCTCCTATGTATGTGAAAATTGGACAGTGAATAAGGAAGACCACAGAAGAATTGATGCATTTGAGTTATGGTGTTGGAGGAGAATATTCAAAACACCATGGACTGCCAAAAGAACCAACAGATCTGTGTTGGGAGAAGTGCAGCCAGAGTGCTCCTTAGAAGCCAAGATGGCCAGCCTTCGTCTCTCACACTTTGGACATACTGTCAGGGGGGAAACAGTCCCTGGAGAAGGACATCATGCTTGGTAAAATGGAGGGACAGCGAAAAGAGGAGACCCCCAGCGAGATGGAGTAACAGTGGTAGCGGCAACTGTGAGAGGTCTCAGGACCAGGCAGTGTTTCGTTCTATTGTACGTAGGCACTTCCTATGAGTCAGAAACAACTTGACGGCACCTAACAACTAGGCCTATACCTGAATGAGCCCTGGTGGTGTGGTGGGTTAAGCACTGGGCTGCTAAATGGAGGTTGGTGGCTTGAACCCACCAGCCGCTCTGTGGTAGAAAGGAGGTGGTCGACTTCTGTAAAGGTGACAGCCTCGGGTGCCCTAAGGAGCAGTGCCACTTGGTCCTATAGGGCGATTGAGTTCAAATCGACTACACCGTGGTGGGACGTCTTATGTCCAAGCCTTAGCGATAGACCTGGGGACTGATGGAAAGTGGGGGTCTGCATTTGGGAGAGGAGGAGGGCTCCCCAGGTGGCCAGTGCTGAAGCAGCCCTGTAAATTTCAGAACTCTGGGAGCTTTCACCTGGGGTTTTAAACTCGGCCTCTGTCCTGCCTCACGGGGAAGCCAGGGCTCCTCAGTCCTCTTGAAGACATGGTTTGGTCCCTGTGTGTCTAAAGAATTAGGGGTCTGTCCCCTTCATCCTTTCTCACAGGGTTTCTTCACTCGGCTAAGAAAGGGGACAAGGGGGTACTCAGGGGAGGTAGCCCCAATGCTAGAATGGGGCAGGCCCAGAGAATCCACTTGTCGATCCAATGAGCAGTTGCTTTGTTAAGGTGTTGATGGAGGACAGTTTGAGAAAGGAGACCTGGACAGACAGACGGACTGGGCCTGGGTGGGGACAAACTCCACAATTCACCTGGAGGCCATGCCCCAACACAACTCACCCTCCCACCCCTGGTGAGACCCACCCAGGGCAATGGAAATTATGAATCAGAAAACCATTTATTCCCGCTCCAAACAAGCAATCGCCCAAGGGCAGCGTCCCCCTCAGGTACATTCATAGGGCCTGTGGGTGCACCCTGCCCTCCCATACTTCAGAACCAAGAGTGGTAAAGTATGGACAAAGCTGCGTGTTGTCAGTCGGGCAAAACCCTTGGCTGCTGCCGGGGTTGGGTGCCCAGAGCCCCTACTCCTTTTTCTCCCACAGCAGACAGCCAGCCCAGAGGCAGTTGGCACAGGGTGTGGACCCCAGATCGAGAGCAAGCAGGGATACAGCAGTGGCCATGGCCTCCGAGGGCCGGGCGGAGGGTACAAACCCTGCCCGCTGGGGGGTAACAAACCTGAGTGAGTGGGGACAAGAGGGCAGGAGGCTCAGCGCCCAGCACCAACAGCAGAAGGCATGGTGGGGGGCGCCCCCCCTTGTCTTTGGCAGAGACCTCCTGTAACTGGCCCTGGCTTAGCCCCTTGGAGGCTGGGGGGCACTAAGGCACTTGTCAGCCAGACAGAAGAGAGGGGTCACCATTTTACGTCCAGCTGGTCCACGCAGGGCAGGGACTTTAAAAGCAACAAGAAAACACTTCTAGCTAAAAACAAACACAAAAAAACACTCATCTAAAAAATGCCCTTGCTGGGTGAGTAGGTGGCTGGGAAGCGCTTTCCTGCATAAGGCACTTGGGCCTATGGCTCTGCCAGCAACCAGGTGAGGAGGCAGGTGGGTCTCCAGCAAGTGGGAGGCAGGAAGCAACAGTCCAGGCTGGCAGGGTGGGCCCCAGGCGCCCCCCCCCTTTGCCCTTACCATCCCCGTCGTGGCTCAGTACACAGGGGGCGGCTGGTAGCCCTCGGTGGTGGGAGTTGTCTCTGCGTTCTGAGTGAAGGGTGGTTGCTGGTAGTTGTCCACAGAGGCACCGGGGTACGAGGCATACGCTGTGCTGGAGTCCGGAGTGGGGTCCACGTAGTTCTGGAGGAAATCTTCCACGCCGACCTTGTAGCGCTGGTAAGCCAGGGAGGCCAGAGTACCCTGCCGAAGACCCAAGGTTGGAGCCAGGGAGCAGGCGAGGGCCCCCCAGCCCTCCACCATCCCTCACCCAGCGCACCTACCCAGGAGAAGATGGAGAAGAAGCTGAAGGTGATGGCTGCTCGGGCTGAGTCAGCACCCACGAGCACATCTTTGGGGTTGGTGGCCGCCCACTGGTTCGTGAGGAAACAAAACCCAACGAACCACAAGAAGGTCCACAGAGCTGGGGAGAGGAGGGAACGGTCAGCCCTAGTAGGGAGGAGGCAGGGGCTTCCCAGAGATGCTGGGGAACTTCTGGAGGGAAGGAGGTACTGAGAGCGGGATCTCCCGAAGGTAACTGACGCAAACTCTGGGGGACGAAGGGGGCCAGAGAGGCGCTAATTCCAGGGCGCCTGTTCCAAAACCCCACATGTCACGACTAAACAGGGCAAGGGCAGTAGTTGGACAGAAACCTGTACATGTAAGGTACAATGAGACCTAAACAGAGCCATCCACATGCGTGGGCTGTAGGGAGCCTAGGCCAAGGGCAAGAGGCCCCACCTGGCTTTGGGGGACGCAATCTGAGATCACTTCCGGAGACCACACGAAGGTGCTCCAGGGAGGTCTACCTGAGAAAAGCAGATCTCCGACGACCAGGTACTTGCGGTCAGTGGCGTTGCTGATCTGGGGGAAGTAGGCATCTACCACGAAGAAGAAGGCAGAGGCCAGGAAAGCCAGTACTCCAATGGCCCCACCATAGCGGCAGGCATCTTCGTTTCGGTTGAAGACGCAGTATCTTTGCTTGGATTCGTGGATGTTACTGTAGCCCTCACCAAAGATGCAGGCAAACACAATCAAGGCGAAGACCTGGGGGGCACCAATAGGGAGTGTGTGGTCGGGCTGGGGACTGCGGACACCCTGGACACCTACCTGCCTCTCACCATGCTACATCCCCTTTCTGAACTTGCCAGCCCAGCTGAGCAAACTGCTTCCTGGGGAACCTCCAAATCTCAATTCCATCTCAGCCAGGGGTCACCACCCCACTGCAATGATGTGCATTAAGGAAGGGCACCCCACTTTCAGCGAGTTTTAAATACTACCGCTCACCAAGTCTTGTAGTTAAATGTCATTGAGTCACTTCCGACTTACAGTGTGACCCTGTACAGGGTTTCCAAGGAGCGGCTGGCTGGTTTTTGAACAGCCGACCTTGTAGTTCAAGCCTATCCTGCCCTCCGGTGCTTTATCCACAGCACCACACCAGGAGTCCTTTCAGCACCCGGTATTCCCAGGCTGTCTCCCATCCAAGTACTGACCAAGCCTGACCCTGCTTAGCTTCCAAGATCAGACAAGATCGGGCGCATTCAGGGTGGGATGGCTGTAGCCATTTCCAGTCTGGACCCCCCCTCATCAGGTTCCTGAGTCACCTCAATCAATATCTCCCAAATAATGGAGCTGCCCCACCTCTGAAAAGAGTCCCCCCAATAGGCAATCTGTCCGTACCCTGAGCTAAAACACCAGAGTCCTGAGGCCCACCCCCCACCCCCAGGACATGCTTCTCATACAGCCCCCACCCCCATCCCCCCATCTAGGTCGGCCTTGGTTCTGCCAGCCTGCTGCTCTGAACAGCAGCCGACCCCAAGGGTCGGGGATTCACCACTCAGAACCCCTGGAAGGGCTCCAGCTTCTCGGTACAGCCCTGTGCCACCTGTCCTTTGCCCAGACATGAGAGCCACTGCCTATAGGCTCCCTCTGCTCTGGAACTCCCCAATAGGCCTCGCAGGCTGACTGTCACAAGCCCCACCCCCAGCTGGATATGGAGCCGGAACTCCGGGATGCTGGTCGCACTGCCAGACTTTTGGCACTTCTGTCCCAACATTGAGGGAATCTCCTACTTGATCACAGTCCGGATCAGCATCCATGGCTGGGGAGGGACTTTGAGCGTCATCCCGGAAGTCGCCAGACCAAGCAGGCACTGCAGGACCGCTCCCCCACTCTGCCGCCCACCACTAAACCCTCCAGCTTTAGCCACAGGCGTCCAAGGTCAAGGATCCTCGACTCCCCACCCCCACCCCCAAGCTGGTGCTAGAGGCTGGTCCCGATTATGGGGAGGAGGTACACCCTAGACGTTCTCCAGGGGGAGGGAGAGCCCGTTTTAGGCGCCTCACTTGCATCCCCCTGCCCCCCCACGTGGCGTGGGAAAACCCCTTCCCGGTGAATTCCACAAGCTGGGCGGGCGGGACACCTGTCCTGGAGAGACCCCAAGCTCCTCCCACTGCCATCAGGGCCTCCGGCTGATCCCCGCAGCGCCTCCCGGCCACCCAGCGTGGGAACGGGGATCCGGGACGAGGAAAGGCTAAACGTGGAGTGAATGGGTGGAGGGACGAAACCACAATGGGAGAGTTCGGGTCCAGGAAGAGGTGGCGAGGTCCGGGATTGGAGAGGTGGTGTCTAGATTCAGGAAGGGGCGGGGGGCGGCGGAGTCTGGGACCAGGGTGAATTGTCCCGACCCGGGGAGAAGGTGGCGAGGTCCGGGACCGTGCGGGGTCTGGTGGTGGAGAGGCGGCAGGGTCCGGGACCAGGGTCAGGGGTCCGGACCCGGAAAGGGAGGTGGGAAAGGTGGCGGGGCCTCGGGATCCGGGTCAGGGATGGGGTGGGGTCCGAGACAGCGGTAGGCGCGGCCCAGCGCGCCACCCCACGGGATCCGGGCCCCGGGCGCCGGCCGCCACCTGCCGCGCCCGGAGGTGGAGGCCGTGCCCGTTTCCAAACCGCTCGGGCCGCTCGCTCACCGTGCACACGGCTCGCACCACCACTTGCCGCTGAGACAGGAAGCGCCACAGGTCGAACGAGCCGCCCGCCTTGGCCGCGCCGTAGGCCCCGCTCTCCATGTCTCCGTCGCCGCCGCCGCCGCCGCCGCCGCCGCCTCCGAAACGGAACGCCGAGAACCAGCCAGGCGGCTCCGGCTCCTCCCTCCTGACGGGGGCGTGGCCAGCGGCCCAGGGACCGCGGCAAAGTGCCGGCCTCGAGAGTGGCGGTGGCCGAGGGGGCGGGGACGTGCCGCCACCCCGTCTGCGCTCCTCTGCAGCTCAGCCTCCAAGCTGACCCGGGAAGGGTCAGAGATTCCCCCAGTTGGAGAGAGACTGCTTCCCGGCCCTCCTCCAGAAGTCCCACTGGTGCCCCACGACACACACACAGCCCCACTCAAAGCCCATAAAGCCCAGCGACTCCTGGTCACTCTTTCCTCTATGGAACCAGCTAACATCTATGGTCCTACTCAATGACCCTATAGGACAAAGTAGAACTGTCCCATAGGGTTTCTAAGGCTGGAAGCAGACTGCCACATCTTGCTTCCACGGGTCCCAACCGCCGACCTTTTGGTTAGCAGCCTGGCACTTTAACACTACGTCACTAGGGCCGCTGTCATGGACCCTCACTAGCCCCAGATTCTCCCTGGAGCAGTCCAGGATTGTGTGATTTCAGACACTTTGGTGTTCAATAGAAAGGAAGTTCCTAGAGCGACAGGCTGTCCTGGAGTCCGTTCCAACTCACAACCACCCTGGGGCAGAGCTTGTTGTTACACGCGGTCTGGTGGGTTCCGACTCACAACGACCCTGTATAGGATTTCCTAGGAGTGGCTGGTGGGTTTGAACTACCACCCTGCAGTTCAAATCGACCTTGTGGTCCATTGCTTATCCTACAACGTCACACCAGGCAGAGTTTAATTCCCCAAACAGTTTAATTCCTCAAACAGTTCTCCAATGGGGAAGGAGCCCTCCGTGTGGGAGGTGGGAGGTGCGCTAGGAGAGAGGGATTCCAGACACCCTTTGCTAGTTATAGGTGAATAAGGGGGTGCAGGTCACATGGAGCGCAGTGTCACCAGGGTATGAAAGATGAGTGGGCCAGAGGACCAACCCCCAGAAGATGGGGCCCCTTTGCAGAGAAGAGGGGAATAAGGGTGGGGGGAGGAGAAGGTGACCAGGTCAGATTAGGACAGTCAGCTGCATCCTTTCACGCTACCTCACACCCATAGTACTGGGTGGACAGAACATGTGGGTGAAGGTTAGGATAGCCACACAGAGTCATTCCCCCTTTCCCATACAGCCCCCATCCAATCCTGAGGAAGTATCTCCATCTATGGCAAATATCTGCAGAGCAAACACTGTGTTCCGGAGGATCTCTGTCTGTCTGTAAGGCAAGCGACTGGCTGTCCTGGGGCTCCACCCTGTATGTGTTCTGGTCACAACCTTGAAGAAAAGGACATTGAGAGCCCAGGTTAGGTCAGCATCCTCTCAGCCCCACCTCCCCAGGGCCCTGGGTTTTATGGAATTTGGGAGCATCTGTGTCCTGGACAGAAGAAGAGAGTCAGACTGACTAACCCCATAAAGAAGGGGGACTGAATCACTGGGGGATTGATCACATGGTGCCCCATTTTATAGAGGTGAAAACTGAGGCTCAGAGAGATGACAAGTCCTGGCTGTAAGGTGGATTGGGAAGAAGGAGCCAGGTGAGGCAGGGAGATGGTAAGAACAGAGGCCTGGGCAGCATCCAGTGAGGAGGTGGACCAAGATAGCAGAGCCTCAGAAACCAAGGGAGGCCCAAGGAGCAGACACACAGAGCAATGCCTGGTCACCTTCACAAGTTAGTGAAGCAATGACTTGGAGAAAGGACCCCAGGAAGCCCAGAACCTGCCTGCTGTCACCATCTGGGAGGAACATCTTCTTGCCTTCCATCCACTGGTTGGCTTTCACACCAGTCAGTGGGGCACTTGACGCACTGTTTGTGTGTGTTGCGTGCTGTTGGTTTGGTTCCAACTATTAAGGACCCTATATAGGGTTTCTGAGAGTGGCTTGTGGTCTTGAGCTGCCAACTTTGTAGTTCCCAGTCCAGTGTTTATCCTATAGCACCATACCAGAGCTCAGTAACCCTTTAAGTGTCTGCGTCCTACATACACACCCATGGAATAGCCCTGCCCTACAATCCCCCCAAGCCAGTGGACCCCAGTCCTCACCCCATCTGCTAGGCCAGCTCCACTTCCTAGTTGGTCCTCATGGGGGAGCAACGCAACATTCCGAAGGTGACAGCTGAGATGTAGGCAAGGCTGCCCACCAGCACCAAGGTGGGGCCCTGGGGCAGCTTTCCTGGGGGGAGGCAGGGAAGGCTGAGTTGAGGGTCCCCTGTAGGCCTAGCTATCCCGGAGCAACCTCTGTCTAGACAGCTGAACGCTCTTGACAGTGACCATTCCACCTCCCACCAATCCTGGGCACAGCCACCTCCCACCCCACAAGAGACAAGAACCCCTTACCTGGGGGTACCAGTATCAGGCCACTGGAACGGACGCTCACATTGTTTTCCGCTTGGCACTGAAGCCAGACTGGTATCTTCATCAGTGAGAAGGAAAAGTTGGCAGGTTGCCCGTAAAGCGATTTGTGCTGTATGTAGACATACCCGTCCTTCCCAACCAGACTGTAGGTGATAGGTGGGCTTCCTGAGGATACCTGGCAGATCACCTCCACCCTGGGGCCTGATCCTCTGTTCATCAGGGTAAAGTTGGTCTCCGGCTGAGACACTGGCTCTGGTAGGGGAGGGAGAGAGATTTTTACAGCCTACCCCCAAAACAAGAACCCCTCAGTACAAAAAGTCAGTGCCTTGAAGGGTTACCTGAGACTGCCACTTCTTCCAGGCAGCCTTCCAGATTACTCCCTCAACCTATGTCTGGGCTTCTCCCTACTTATAGGATGTTGTATAGTAAGTTACAAGTTCTGACTCACAGTGACCCCATAGGACACAGCAGAACTGCCCCAAAGGGCTTCCTGAGTCGTGGTGTGGCAGGAGTTCTAGTGTGGTAATACAGGATAAGCACTTGGCCACAAGGTCAGTTTGAACTGTAAGGTTGGAGGTTCAAACCCACCAGTCGCTCCTTGGAAACCCTATATCGGGTTGCTATGAGTCAGAACCGACTCGACAGCATTAACAGTGGCTGTTCTGCTGGAGAAAGATGAGGCAGCCTGCTATGTAAGGATCCACAGCCTCTGAAACCCTGTAAGACTGCTGGGAAGTATTGGCCAGTTGGTTCCAACTCATAGCAACCCTGTATAGAGTTTCTGAGGAACAGCTGGTCGGTTTGAACCATCAACCTTATGGTTAGCAGTTAGTGCTTATCCTACAGTGCCACACCAGGACAAGAGTAAAGGGTCCCTGTAAGTTGGAGTTGACTGAGGGCATTAGGTTTGGGAGTTTGGGGAACAAACTGACATCTTTCTTCTGTAGTGTCTCTGGGTGGGTTCAAACTGCTGACCTTTTTGGTTAACAGTCATGTGCTTAATCATTGGGCCACCAGGGCTCCTTATTTGCAGAAAGTCCAACATAATTTCACATTTGGCTTTATTCTTGCATATACTATTTTAGGTTGCTAGATTTAGCAAATAAAAATACAGGCCACCCAGTTAAATTTGAATTTCATGTAAACCGCAAGTGATTTTTTAGGGTAAATGTCCCCTGCAAAGCTTATCTGGTAAGCCTAATTCTATTCTTTCAGGCTTGTCTCTCCTACAGGAATGCATGCTTCTTTAGGACAAGAACTGACAGAAGGTTCTAGATTTCCCCTACAACCTTTAATGGACTTTTCTAGACATTCTTACTGATGAATAGCACCGGACACACCTTTTTGCATAGTTGCTGTTGTTAAGTGCCATCGAGTTGGTTTGACTTATAGTGACTCTGTATAAGGTTTCTGAGGAGCAGCTACTGGGTTTGAGCTACCAGCCTTATGGTTCACAGTCCAGTGTTTCATCCTGCAGCCCCATACCAGGCGTTACCACCCACTAAAAGCTTTCATTTAACACTTTCAATACTTACTGTTATTGTTAAGTGCCGTTGAGTCGGTTCTGACTCATAGCAACTCTGTATAGGGTTTCCAAGGAGCATCTGGTGAGCTTGAACTGCCAGCCTTGTAGTTAGCACCACACCAGGAGTCCCCTTTCAACACTACCATGGCGTCATTGGCTTTGTTTTGCTACTATTATCTTTGTACTAAGGAGCTTTGGTGGCACTGCGGTTAAAGCGCTTGGCTACTACCTGAAACGTTAGCACTTTGAATCCACCAGTTGCTCTGTTTCCTTGGAAATGTTAAAAGGGAAGTTCTCCCCCATCCTACAGGGATAGGTTCATCTTTGTACTGTTTATTAGCTTCATTTTACAAATGAGGCAACTGAGGTCCAGAGAGGTGGAATTACTAACCCCAAAGCCAGTAAGTGTAGGGATTTGAACCCTTGACATGCTGGACTCTTCCTGTGTTCTTAGAATCAGAGACAAAGAAGGGATGGGGCCTGGGGTTACAGCCCTCCACAGATCATCCGGCAACACTTCCTGGTTTGCACCCCCTTGGCTTCTGCCAGGAAGGCCAGGGGAACATGGATTGGAACTGGGAGGGGGCAGGAGGTGAAACTAGCCTTGGTTACTTGCTAGCTGAGAGGCCCAGGCAGTTTCATAACCTCCTTTCTACTTCTCTCTTGTAGACCCCACCCACTGGGTGGTGAAGATGGAATGAGATAATGAACAAGAGGTGCCTGGTTTATCAGTCTGAGGCCCCCTACTTCTATCCCTGAACCAGTGGGACCAGGCCTTGGTCCCTTCTGCCCAAGGGTTCTTCTGCATGCTCCTGTCGCCTCCCTGAACCCTGGCCCTGGGGTTGTGCCAAGGTCTGCAACCGGGGCCAGGCAGCTCTATGGGATTGTGGAAGACCTTGTCCCCACCCTCCTGTCCTTGGCCTTTTCTCAGCCCAGAACCCTCTGGGGGCCCAGAAATCCCCACCTCCAGGAATTGCATCCCACTCCCTGCTGTCTGCTCCCCTCAACTTCTCATACTTACTGGCCCACAGCTCCCAGTCTATCAACACCTTTTCACTGGTGATCCTCGTCCTGGAGCTGAGGAGCACCTGGCAGGAATAGCTAAGCAGGTCTGGCCTGGACTTGTGTGTGACGTTGATGCTGAAGGAGGCTGGGTCATTGGTCTTCATTATCTTCTTGTTCACTTCTATGTCCCCGTTCCCCAAGAGGATGTAGGTGATGGGAGGTGGGGCATGGGGTGAGTGGCAAGTAATGAGAAAGTGGCGGTTTTTGGGGAAAACCTTCAGGACTTTGTACTCAATGAAGATTTTGGGGGTGACTTCTGGGGAGAAAGGACAATAACCAGTATTTACTATGCACTGTATGGAAACACTAGCTAGAATGGCCACATGACCCAACAGTCTCATTGCTGACTATAATTCCCAAAAAGATTGAAAACATAGATTCAAACAGACAAGTATTCACAACAGTTAAAAGGGAGGAACAAGCCAGGTGTCCACTAGCAGATGAATGGGTAAACACAATGGGTTTTACCCACACAATGGAATATCACTGAGCCGTGAAAAAGGAATGAATGTCAATGCAAACAACCATGGATGAATCTTGAAAACATAATGCTGAGTGAAGGAAGCCAGACACAATCAAGAATTTGCGACTCCACAGAGACAGAGAGCAGCTTACTGGTTGCCAGGGGCTAGAAGAGGGGCAGCGGAAGGGGTCTGCTTATGAGTATGGAGTCTAACTTTTGGAAATGATGAAGATGTTTGAGACTAAGATGAAGGTTGTTGTTATCGGGTGCCATTGAGTCAGTTCTGACTCATCAACCCTACACACAACAGAATGGAACACTGCCCGGTCCTACACTCTCCTCAAATCCCTACTACGTTTGAGCCCATTGCTACTGCCACTGTGCCAATCTGTCTTGTTGCGGGGGTCTTCCTCTTTTTCACTGACCCTCCAGATGAAAGTGGAGGTTGCGTAACATTGTGAATACACTAAATGTCATTGAATTAGTTTCCTTCAAAATGGTTAATTTTTTTTACATGAATTTCACCTCAGTAATAACAACAAAAGAAAGGAAAATTCTGGGAAATGGTCTTAGGTTTCTTCGGCCCAGAACATTTTATTACAAAAATAAAATGAAACGTTAGAAGGGTCAGAAGCATGGAGACATTTGGAGTCCAGGCTAAGAGGACTGGATTAGATTCAGCAGCTAAGGTACGAAGGCACAGGCCCTGTGTTCATGGAGTTCTGGTGTGGCACTGTGGGTAAATGCGCTGGACAGCGAGGTTGGTTTGAACCACAAGGTCAGTGGTTCAAGCTCACCAGCCACTCCTAGGAAACCCTATACAGAGTCGCTATGGGTTGGAACTGACTCCATGGCACTTAACAACATCCCAGCTGGTGGAGTCCCGGTGTGAGATAATGCGCTGGACTCCAAGGTAGGTTTGAACCACAAGGTTGATGGTTCAAGTTCACCAGTCGTTCCTTGGAATCTTATACAGGGTTGCTACAGGTTAGAACTGACTCGACGGCACTTAACAACAACAACAACCCCAGATGATAGCTTGTGTGCCATGTGGCCGGGATACTGGAAACATTGCTTCCAGTATTTCCAGTCTGAGCAGGGCCACCCATGGTGGGCAGATTTCAGTGTAACTTCCAGACTAAGAGAGACTAGATTGAAAGGGCTGGTGATCTCCAGTCACAGATTAGCCAGTGAGATGCTGTGGGTGCCTACAGAACTGTCCGCTATGGTGCTGGGAGATGAGCCCGGTAGATGGTCATGAAGTTGGTCCCAGTTCATAGAGACTGTATAAAACCAAGGCTGTCAGCTTCATGGAAACAGACTGTCATCTCTTTCTCCCTCGAAGCTGCTGCTGGGTTCAAACTTGTCAGCAGCTGAGCACTTTAACCATGTCTGGTAGCGTAGTGGTTACGAATAGGGCTGCGAACCTCAAGGTGAGAAGTTCGAAACTACCAGCTGCTCCGCGGGAGAAAGATGAGGCTTTCTGCTCCTGTACAGATTTATAGCCTCGGAAACCCTATTCAGGGTCGCTATGGGTCGGAACCGACTCGACGGCACTCAACAACAACAACAACAACCCTGTCTACTCCTGTACCATCTTCAAGGGCATTGATCTGCTCAGTCATTCATTGCAGCCCTGTGGACTGTGGGCACCTGAAGTGTACCACCCATGACGGAGGTGGTGCAGGACCACACCACATTCCTTTCTGAGGGGCATGGAGTCATCCTTAGCCCATGAACAACAAGACCACCAGCCCCAGTCTTCTAGAATCAGCACTTCCTCCTTGCCCAGGGCTGCACAGGACACAAATAGACTTTCTCATCTGTTCCCCTTTCTAAATTCCCGACAAGCCTTGTTGTATTCTTTTTAAATTTTATTTTAATGTTTTATTGTGAATTATTTGATAGTTTAGATGGGAGAACATTAGTTTTACATTCATCCTATTGCCATGGTTACAATCCCCTCCATGCAGCAGCCTTGTTGTATTCTTGAATACCATTCTGTTTTCTTTTTTAAATGACTTTTCATGCAAAATCTTTGATTGGAAGACAATAAAGTTATATCTAGAGTTGAAGCTACTCTCCATTCTGTAGACTGCTACCTAGAATTCAAAGGAACCCTGACTATTAGTTGTTGTTAAATGCCATAAAGTTGGTCCCGACTCATAGTGACCCTGTATAGGATTTCTGAGGAGTGGCTGGTGAATTTAAACTGCCAATCTTGTGATTCAAACAGACTTTATGGTCCAGTGCATTATCCTATAACACCACATGGAGAATTATAAACTGGGCTGCTAACCGAAAGGTCAGCAGTTCAAGTCTCCATGGGATGGATAACAAATTAAAAATATATAGATATATGTATAAATAACATGTGATATATATATATATATATATATATCATAGTGGGTTATAAGTTGGGCTGCTAACCGTAAGGTTAGCAATTCAAATCTACCAGACTCTCTCTGTGCTGGAGAAAGATGAGGCTTTCTTCTCTCATAAATATGTATAGCCTTGGAAACCCTATGTAGGGTCGCTATGAGTAGGAACTGACTTGATAACACTTAACAACAATAGAAAATATATATATATAGTTGTTGTTCCCTTAGAGAAGGAAATGAGTTTGACTTCATATAAACGGAAAGACAAAACGGCAGCCATTAATAGATGCGTCATTTGCATAAACACACTCCTTTGTTAAATGCACTGAAACTGGAGAACTCACTTTTCATTCTGACAAGCTTTGTGCAGTCTTTGATTTTGTTTACTGAGTTTATGGATCGAAACTCCATCCCTAACCCAAAGTCCTTGAGTCAATTCCGACCCGTAGCAACTTATAAGACAGAGGACAGCTGGCCCACATGGTTTCCAAGGCCGTTGTCTTCACAGAAGTTTACTGCCACATCTTTGTCTCATGGGGCAACTGGGGGTTTCAAACTCTGACCTTTTGCAGCCAATCACTTAACCACTGCGCCACCAGGCTTAAGTGCCTGGTTGTTGTTGTTGTTGTTAGGTGCCATCAAGTTGGCACTGACTCATAGCGACCCTATGCACAGCAGAACGAAACAATGTCCGATCCTGGGACAACCTCACTACCGTTGCCACACTTGAGTCCATCGATGCTGCCACCTGGCCAGTCCATCTCGTTGGGGGTCTCCCTCTTTTTCTCTGACCCTTCATCTTACCAAGCATGATAGCCTTCTCTAGTGACTGTTCCCTCCTGACAACATGTCCAAAGTATAAGAGACGAAGTTTGGCCATCTTGGCCTCTAAGGAGCATTCTGGCTGCACTTCTTCCAAAACAGATCTATTGGTTCTTTAGGCAGTCCATGGCACTTTCAGTATTCTCCTCCAACACCACAACACAAAGGCATCAGTTCTTCTATGATCTTCCTTATTCACTGTCCAGCTTTCACATCCATATGAGGTTATTGAAAATACCATGGCTTGGGTCAGGCGCACCTTAGTCCTCAAGCTGACATCTTTGCTCTTCAACACTTTGAAAAGTTCCTGTGCAGCAGATTTGCCCAGTGCAATACGTCGTCTGATCTCTTGACTGTTGCTTCCGTGAGTGTTGATAGTTGATCCAAGAAGAATGAAGTCCTTGACAACTTCAATCTTTTCTCCGTTGATAAGAATTTTGTTTACTGGTCCAGTGGTGAGGATTTTTGTTTTCTTGACATTGAGATGTAATCCATATCGAAGGCTGTGCTCTGGTGGTTAGGTATCTGAAACATCATTGAGTCTGTTCCAACTCACAGCAACCCTATATAGCAAGGGGGAATGTCCAATCAGAGGCTCATATTTGGAGTTGGTTCCAACTCACAGTGACCCTATATAGGGTTTCCTAGGAGCGACTGGTGAGCTTGAACCACCGATCTTGTGTTTCAAAGCGACCTTGCTATCCAGCACATTAACCCACAGCACCACACCAGGACTCCGACGCTTGTGAAATCATGTGGTCTGGTCCTGCCAAGGCAACTGCAGTTCCAGCCATTACATTAGGGATGAGTTCATTAAATGTTTCACCAAATGTAGCGGGCTGATATTTAAGTGGATAATTTTGTATGGCCCGGGTCCTTTCTAGTCAACCCTGTACTCCATTCTCCCTTATCTCCCCTGAAATTCCCCTTCCCCTCACTTCCTGTGATTTTCCTGCTCTGTTGCCTCCTTTAAGTCCTTAGCAAATGACTTCCCAAATGTCACCCTCCAGCCTCCCCTGCCCTGTGCTCCTTTCATCTCTGCTGGCTTGTCTCTGTAAACTGTCACAGCCTACTGGTATAGAGTGGATTTCAGCTTGTGGTAAGCCATGGCTGTGCTCCACAGGGGTTTTAAGGCTATGGTTAAGCATTCAGCTGTGAACTGAAAAGTCAGCAGTTCCAATCCACTAGCCATGAGAAAGATGAGGCAGTCTGCTTCCATAAAGATTTACAACCTGGAAACTCTCTGGGGACGTTCTGCTCTGTTCTGTTCGTTGCTATGGGTAGGAATCCAATGGAGGGCAATGTTCTTTTGTTGCTGATGTTTTGTCCTTAACCTTTTAAAAGCAGATTCCCAGGCCTTTCTTCTGAGGTTGTTGTTGTTGTTAGGTGCCATCGAGTCAGTACCGACTCATAGCGATCCTACGCACAACAGAACGAAGCACTGCTTCACTGGGCCAACCTCACTACTGTGGCCACGCCTGAGTCCATCGATGCTGCCACTTGGCCAGTCCATCTAGTTGGGGGTCTTCCTATTTTTCTCTGACCCTCCACCTTACCAAACATGATATCCTTCTCCAGCAACTGGTCCCTTCTGACAATATGTCCGAAGTATGAGAAACGAAGTTTGCCCATCCTGGCCTCCAAGGAGCACTCTAGCTGCACTTCTTCCAACACAGATCTGTATGTTCTTTTGGCAGCTCATGGCACTTTTAATATTCTCCTCCAACACCATAACTCAAAAGCATCTTCTGAGGTTGGGTGGGTTCAAACTTTGGTTAGTAGGTGGAGTTCAAACCGGTTTCTCCACTCAGGGACCTTGTTAACCTAGTGCAGAATGTACTTATTTTATCATCACTGCTTTGTTTCTGCACCTTGTGTATCCCGGGTGCCTGATATAAAACGGGTTCAGGGACCATTCATTTAACGAATGAATGATCAGTTGAATAAATGAATGATTTATCAGTAGAGGAGTTTCGTTAGCAGGAACTAGGGCTGGGCTGCCCAGGTACTTCCCCAGGTCGGGCCCTGCAGAACCGCGACACCAACGACGTGTTTATTTTTAAAGCGAATGAGGACATGATAGTTCAGCCGGTACCTCCTTCAAGTGGAACCGCGTCGCCATGCCTAGTCCCCGCCCTTAAACTCCCTAGAGGGGGAGGCGCGACTCTGGGGTCGGTTACCCGGAGCAGGGGTCTGACTGGGACGGGACAAGGAGGAGCGGGTCGTGAAAAGGAAGGGACCGGTCACTAACGTCTGGACTGATGCCCCGGCTGGAAAGGGGTCGGAGAAAGAAGGCGAGGGCGCGAGACCAGGACGCCCTCTAGCGGTGATTAGGAGGGCAGCTTCGCGGTTACCTGCCCCGTAGGGGAGTCTGACTTCCCCTTTCTCCCACTGCCATTGTGTGCCTGGACCCAGGTTGTTGTTAAGTGCAGTCGAGTCAGTTCTGACTCAGGGAGACCTTGTACAGGGTTTCCAAGGAGCGGCTGGTGAGTTTGAACCGTCGACCTTAGGGTTCAAAGCAACCTTGAGGTCTAGTGCATTATCCTACAGCGCCACACCAGGAACAAGGTATCGCCCCCAGTACTCCTTGCCCTCTCTTAGGGTCACGCCCTCCCGGCAGGACTGATCCGGAGCCTAGGGACTGAGCGGGTGAGACACACCTACGCAGGAAGCCCCCACACTGGTCTGCCCTGTCCACGGATCCCCAT